AATGGTGATCTGTTTTGTTTTTAGTCATTGGTTCTCAAACTTTAAAGCTTGTAATAAATCACCTTGGGAGTTTGTTAAAACATCATTTCCTAGGCTCCTTCTTCAGAAGATTCTGATTCGGTACTGTTGGGGTATGGTTTATTATTTGCATTTCTGATGAGCTCACAAGTACTCCCAAAGCAGCTCATCTGAATTTCTCACTTTGAAGCTGGTAGTTGACCCCCTGAGGAGCACCGGCTGTGCCTTTTCTTAGAGTGAGGCCTTCGTTGGCCACTCTAAGAAAAGTGATTCCAACGAGCAAGCCTGGGCAGTTAGCATTCATTAACCCTAGCATTGCAATCCCCATGGAAGAGCAGGGATCCCGGGCACCTTTGCTTGTGGATGGTGCCTTGCCTTGGAGCCAGTTGTCTTCCTTTTTCTGCAAGGCGAGGTTGCACAGGTGTACAGCATGGGCCAGGTTTTTCCATTACATGTTGTACTGAGATTACCAATTTGTGCAAAACAGCTCTTATCCTTGTCGCCCAGCTTTCTGGAAGCAAAATTTATGGGGTGAAGGGTGCCAAAAGCTCTGTGGCTTCAAGCACAATTGAGATTGGTTTGACTCATGGAATTAATTCACTCATTGGCAATAAAATGTTCTAGCCTTTTGCAAAAGTTTTAAACTCAAAAGTCTAATTGTGCTGTTTTGATTAGCGGTGATGTTCAAAATTTTTTTTCATTTACCTTTTTCTTTATTCATCCCTATCTTCTTTCAACTGGTGAAGGGTTTTTATCTCTATAAGCTTTTCTAACAATGGTCCATTATTACCAATATTTTCCACTGTCTTAAATTTTTTTTTTGGAAGCAGATTTTTATGTAGTTAAATCAATTACTGTTTCTGTTCTCCCATGTCTCCACCCTTTTAAGTTTAGGAGCTCCTAATTTTCTTCCATAGAAATTTGATGAATATTTTTTCAGGTTTTCCCTGGTGGGATTTTTATTTTTTAACTTTATTTTTGAGATGGAGTCTCTCTCTCTGTCACCCAGGCTGGAGTGCAATGTTGTCATCTTGGCTCACTACAACCTTTGCCTCCCTGATTCAAGCAATTTTCCTACCTCAGCCTCCTGCCTTGGCTTCCCAAAGTGCTGGGATTATAGGCGTGAGCCACTACACCTGGCCCTGGTGGGTTGATTGGTTGGTTGATTTATTTAGAGATGGAGTCTCACTCTGGCGCCAGGCTGGAGTGCAGTGGCATGATTTCAGCTTACTGCAACCTCCGCCTCCTGGGTTCAAGCGATTCTCATGCCTCAGCCTCCCAGGTAGCTGGAATTACAGGCACACGCCACCATACCCAGCTAATTTTTACATTTTTGGTAGAGATGAGGTTTCACCATGTTGGACAGGATGGTCTTGATCTCCTGACCTCGTGTTACGCCCACCTCAGCCTCTCAAAGTGCTGAGATTACAGGTTTGAGCCACTGCACTCGGCCGCTGGTGGGATTTTTATAAAACCATTGAACATTTTGGGTTTTTTTTTTTTTTAAGACAGTCTTACCCTGTCACCCAGGCTGGAATGCAATGGCACAATCTCGGCTCACTGAAAGCTCCGCCTCCCAGATTGAAGTGATTCTTCTGCCTCAGCCTCCCTAGTAGCTGAGATTACAGGTGCATGCCACCACACCCAGCTAATTTTTGTATTTTCAGTAGAAACCAGTTTTCACCATGTTGGCCAGTCTGGTCTTGAACTCCTGCCCTCAACTGATCCACCTGCCTCTGCCTCCCAAAGTTCTGGGATTACAGGTGTAAGCAACTGCACCTGGCCCATTTAACATTTTGTTATTGGGGGGAAAGGGGATGATCCTAAACTCCTTCCATCCTTTGTACACATTAACATATACTGAAGTCCTAACTCCAGTACCCCAGAATGTAACTATATTTGGGCAATATTTGAAACCTTTGACTCTTAAGACTTTTGCATCTGCAAGAAAGAAAAGGAAAAAAAAGTTTTGGATGAACTGAAAAGGTTGTGAGGGCTGGACACGGTTACTCAGGCCTGTATTACCAGTACTTTGGGAGGCTGAGGCGGGCAGATCACCTGAGGTCAGGAGTTCGAGACCAGCCTGGCCAACATGTTGAAACCTGGGTTCTACTAAAAATAACAAAAATTAGCTTGGTATGGTGGCAGGCACCTGTAATCCCAGCTGCTCAGAGGCTGAGGCAAGAGAACTGCTTGAACCCAGGAGGCGGAGGTTGCAGTGAGCCTAGATTCACTATTGCACTCCAGCCTGGGAGACAAAACCAGACTGTCCCAAAAAAGAGTAGACTTGCCCTCTTAAATATTAAAGCAGTCTATAAAGCTACATAGTTAAAATAAGGGGTAGATATTAGAAAAAGCAGAAAAGTTACACATAATAGATTGGTAACAGTGAGTTTGGGCGAGGACAGTGAAAACAGGTAAAGGAGAGAATCTGACATTCTGGTAAGGTAGATATTACATAGAGGAAGACAACATACACATTAAGTTTTAATTCTGCTTTGATGTAACCTCATTTGAAACATTTTGTGTTGATTTTGAATTTAGAATGGTCTAAAATTCTTCTAAAAGTAGTCAACTATTTTAATAAAATTACCGGTTAAAAGTTGTTAATGAATTCTTACAAATTAGCTTTATGTAGTAATTCCCTTAAAAGATACATGATTATTTTAAACTGAAGTGATAATTAGTGGTGACGAGTCTGTGATAGACATTCCCCTAATATTTAAAGTTAGCTTTGAACTTTTAAAAATTACCAGCGATTGGCTTGGCCGGGCAAGGTAGCTCATGACAGCACTTTGGGAGGCTGAGGCGGGCAGATAACCCAAGGTCATGAGTTTGAGACCAGCCTGGCCAACGTGGTGAAACCGTCTCTACTAAAAATACAAAAATTAGCAGGGCATGGTGGCTGAGACCGGAGAATCATTTGAACCCGGGAGGCAGAGGTTGCATTGAGCCAAGATGGGGCCACTGCATTCCAGCCTAGGCTCGATTGAGACTCCTCTCCAAAATACAATAAAAATTATTGGTGATTCTTGGTTAAAAAAAAAACGTGTACACACACACATGAAAAATATAATTACAGAAATACTGCGTGCTGTTGTTTGATCCTAGCACCCAGCTGTTGGCTTGCATCCTCCTAGATTAATTCGCAAAACTGCATCTCAGCGCCCCAACCAGAGCTGTGACCGGAGGGAAGCCAAAGTGTTCTCTGCTGGGACTCTTCGCGGCCAGAGTAGCCGATGCCTGCATCTTGGTGTCCACGACCTTCGTGCAAAGTCGGTGACCCAAGCAAGACCTGACAACGGCAACAGTGGCACAGCTCGGCCCTCTCCGTTTCCCCCTTCCCCGATGTCATTTTCCCTAACTGGGAAAGTGGTCTGTGGCAGAATCGCAATACACACAGGGTATTCCAAATCCAGCTGAGCCCCAAGCGACCCGGTTTTCTCATCCCAAGTTAACCTTGAGTAGAACCAGAGCGGGCTTGGAGAGGTTTCCTAGTGGGTTAGATAGGATTCTCACCTGGGTAAACCAGATGAACGCGGTTAAGGAGCACAAGGGACACACCGAAGCGCAGCCGGGGTAGATTGCGACCTTGGGCGGCTAAGAACCCGAGGTCCCACCTGCCTCGAGGTGGAAAGCGGCGCAGGGCAGAATTGGGCTGATATAGGAATGGGCATTCCCTCCCCTCTACCTTCCAAAAAACAGACGTTAGGGAAATGCAATTCTTTATTAGAACTCAAGTTTGTGTTTGCAACCATTCAACAGAAGGGGTAAAACAAAACAATTCACATCATGATTCCCCCACCCCCAACCCCACCTTCTGAGGCTTAAGTGTATCGGGCTTCCACTTAACCCCTGACTGGCTCTGGTTCCAGGGCCTGAAATGCCTTCATAATCTAGTAACTGGGTCCCGGGCATCCACGTAAAACCGCTGGGTCCGTGCCTTGCTGGCAGCTTCGGGAGATCGCTGGGTCCCCGACTCACTGGCAGCCTTGAGGGACTGCTGGGTCCCGGCCTCCCGCACCTCCACCGGAGAACCCTGTGTCCCGACCTCCCGGACCTCCACCGAACGCTGGGTCCAGGCCTCCCGGACCTCCACCGAACGCTGGGTCCCGGCTTCCCGGACCTCCACCAAGCGCTGTGTCCCGGCTTCCCGGACTTCTATTGAAGACCGCTGGGTTTCGGCCTTCTGAGTGGCTATATCCTGGGCGAGGGCCTTTCCTGAGCCTGGAAGAAGAGCAGTGTGCAGAGGCCACAGCTGTATCCCTATATCCTCTCTAAAAAAGGACAGTCACCCATGTGGCCTACGGGAGTAGGAGCCAGGAATCCCAGAACGCAAGTTCAGTTTGGCCTTCTCGATCCGTGGCGACCAGAACCGCCCCCTCCCTCACCCACCAACCGCGGGCCGACTGGGAGGGCGAGACTGCCGCCCCAGCAGCCAGTAAAACCCAGGATCACTCCTACGGAGACAGGATTTGCTCAAAGTAGTCCTTTTCTCAACCTCGTACCTTTCGCCTGGAGCTGGCGGTGATAGTCAGCCAAGTTCACGATCATCTTGATTGTGTCCTCCTGGTAAGAAGGCCTCCCAAATATCAAGATCTCAGCCTCGCCGCTGGGGTCCAAGTGATTCACGTGAATCAGGATTTGGGACAGACCCTGGACTTGCGGGATGCGCTCTCCGCCTCTGCCTGCGCCGAGAGCAGAGAGGATGTGAGGGACGGGTAGCTCCCAGGGGCCTTGGGAGAGGAAGTTGGAAGGAGGAGACAGCCAGAGGACATTGGCTACTAGGGAGGTTTGCCCTGGAACGCGGCCAGAACATGTGGGGTGTAGGTATGGGTGCAGAAAGAAGCCGCATGAGGGTTACCCGTCCCTAGTCCACTCACCGAAGATCTTTTCCACCAGCCAAACCTCAAGGCGAACTACCTTCGGATTCTTCAGAAACTCAGAGTGGAACCAGGAGAACTGCTTGGGGAGCTGACCGAGCACCTCGAATGACATTGCTTTTGGCTGCATCAGTTGCACGAGCGTCGGAAACCGTCTGGGAGTGTCCATGCTGCCGCCCGCCCTGCAGGAGACCAGAGCACAACCGCAAACCCAAAGGACGAGCTGGAGGTAGGCGACTAGAGTTGCGCTTACAGCTGGGTCTTATTTTAAGGGCTTTTGGCCAGCCCCTCCTCTCCATCCGCTCCCTTCTCATTGGACTCCAGGCGTCGCCTCCGTCTCCTAGGGCCCTGGCTTCTTCCGAGGCCGCACAAGCGCGCTGGTTTCTGGGCTGCTCTCAGAGGGTTCCTTCTGTCAGGAACAGCCCTTCTTCAGCGCACCCGGTGGGAGAAACCGGGCTCTGGGCTCCAGGAATCCAGTGGAAAGCCGCGGGAGTCTTAAAGATGGACTCAGGAAGGCGTGGATAAGCCCAGTATTTTTCTCAGAAGAAGGAACTGATACTTGCAGAATGAATACTTCTTAGGTCTCCCAGAGCTTCTTATCCCTGGCCACTATGTTTACTTCCTCTGGCACCAGGTTTTCAGATTATTCTGTTACCTGCCTGAGACAGCTGAGTACAGGGCAGAATAAGGGTTTTTTTTTTTTGTTTTTGTTTTTTTTTAAGTTATAGGGTCTGTGTAGTGAGATTTGCATAGTAAAAAAAAAAATAAATGGATAGGAAAAAAGTTATGGGATCTGGCTTTCTTGCTGGTTTTCAACTCTGGGGAGTTAAAAAATCCTCCCTCCTTATCATCCCCAGTGGTGGGACTGTGGCGCGCTTTTAATTAATGCAGCCTTGAACCCACCCAACCACAGACAGTTCCCGTGGTTTAGATACCAGAGGAGATTCCTTGAAATTTTTTGATATTTCCATTTTTATTTTTATTTTTATTTATTTTTTGAGACGGAGTGTCACTCTCGCCCAGGCTGGAGTGCAGTGGCACCGTCTTGGTTCACTGCAACCTCTGCCGCCCAGGTTCAAGCGATTCTCCGGCCTCAGCCTCCCTAGTAGCTAAGATTGGAGGCACGAGCCATGTCGCCCGGCTAATTTTTGTATTTTTAGTAGGGACGGGGTTTCACCATGTCGGCTAGGCTGGTCTTGAACTCTTGACCTCGTGATTCACCTGCTTCAGCCCCCAAAGTGCTGGGATTACAGGCGTGAGCCACCATTTTTTGTTTCTTTGCTTTGTTTGGTTTGTTTTTTGAAATGGAGTTTCACTCTTGTCGCCCAGGCTAGAGTAAAATGCCACGATCTCGGCTCACTGCAACCACTGCCTCCTGGGTTCAAGCGATTCTCATGCCTTAAGACCCCGCCCCCAGTAGCTGGGATTACAGACGTGCACCACACGTTCGGCTAATTTTGTATTTTTTTTTTAGTAGAGAGAGGGTTTCTCCATGTTGGTCATGCTGGTCTTGAACTCCCAACCTCAGGTGATCCGCCCGCCTCTGCCTCCCAAAGTGCTGGGATTACAGGCGTGAGCCACCACGCCCAGCTAAGCCACAATTTTTAAATTTGAGACAGAGTCACTCTGTGGTCACCCAGGCTAGAGTGCAGTTATGTGATTATAGCTCACCGCAGCCTCCATCTCCCGGGCTCAAGATATGCTCCCGCCTCAGTTTCCCTAGTAGGGAACCCCCCCCCACCAGGCCCAGTGATGCCTCTGTTCTCTAGTAATACAATTATATTTGTCCCTTTCTTCCTTCCTTTCCTTTTTCCTTTCCCCTTTCCTTTCCTTTCTTTTCCCCTTCTGACAAGGTATGTTCAAGCCGGTCTCAAGCAATCTTTCTGGTCTGGGCAAAATGAAACTGGATCGCTACAAAAAATGCAAAAATTAGCTGGGCGAGGTGGCTCGCATCTGTAGTTCCAGCTACTGGGAAGGCTGAGGTGGGACAATCACTTGAGTCCAGAGAGGTTGAGGCTACAGCTACAGTAAGCTGCACTCTCCCCAGGGGTGACAGAGTAAGACCCTGTCTCAAAAAAAAAAAAAAAAAGAAAGAAAGAAAAAACAAACAAAAAACAACCTGCTTTAAATGTGTTGCTATACGATAAATTATAATTTATAATTCATTTTTATTCAGTATTGAAACACTAAAGAGAACTTTAGGTTTGCCACGTTAATAGACTGAATGTATGCATTCAGACCTCGCCCAGACGACTGAATGTATTTGATATATGGGAATGATTTAGTCATTGGGAAGTTCGTACTTGCTAATTGAGACAGTTAAAGTACTTTGCAAAACAACAAGAAAATATACACATTAAAGACTGAGCAAAGCTGGGTGAGGTGGCTCACACCAGGAGTTCTAGAGGAGCTTGGCCAACAGGCAAAATCCCATCTCTACTAAAAATACAAAAAGGAGCCGAGCATAATAGTGGGCACCTGTAATCTCAACTACTCGGGAGGCTGAATCAATTGAATCCCAGAGGCGGAGGTTGCCAGAGCCAAGATCGCGCCACTGCATTCCAGCCTGGGGGATAGAGCAAGACTGTCTCCACAAAACAAACAAAACAAAACAAAAACCAAAAAAAAAACTGGGCAAATAACAAGAGCTGTTTCTCAAAGAAGAAATACAAGCAGCCAACAAACATAAAAAAATGCTCAGCATCACTAATAATAAGAGGAAAGCAAATTAAAATTACACCAGGATACCATCATACATCAGTCACAAAGACTTTTTTTTTTTTTTTTTTTGAGACAGAGTCTCACTCTGTTACCAAGGTTGGAGTGCAATGGAGCAATCTCGGCTCACTGCAACCTCTGCCTCCCAGGTTCAAGTGGTTCTCCTGCCTCATCCTCTCGAGTAGCTGGGACTACAGGCACCTGCCACCATGCCCGGCTTTTTTCTTTTTTTTCTAAATTCACCTGGGTGCAGGTGGGCTAATGCCAAAAAGGGCATTAGCTGTTTTTTTTGTTTTTGTTTGTATTTTTTTTTAGTAGAGTCGGGGGTTTCACCATATTGGCCAGACTGGTCTCAAACTCCTGACCCTGTGATCCATCTGCCTCAGCCTCCCAGAGTGCTGGGATTAGAGGCATGAGCCACAGCACCTGGCCTCACAAAGGCTTTTATTAAAAGAGTCAAAAAATGGGCCAGGTGTGGTGGCACATGCAGGTAATCCTAGCAATTTGGGAGGCAGGGGTTGGTACATCACCTGAGGTCAGGTGTTCCAGACCATCCTGGCCAACACAGTGAAACCCCATCTCTACTAAAAATATATAACTTAGGCTGGGCGCGGTGGCTCACACCTGTAATCCTAGCACTTTGGGAGGCTGAGGTGGGTGGATCACCTGAGGTCAAGAGTTGAAGACCAGCCTGGCCATCATGGTGAAATCCCATCTTTAAAAAAATAATAATAAAAAAAATTAAAAAAAAAAAACAAAACATAGCCTGACATGGTGGCACAGGCCTATAATCCCAGCCACTAGGGAGGCTGAGTCAGGAGAATTGCTTGCACCCAGGAGGCAGAGGTTGCAGTGAGTCAAGATCATGCCATTGCACTCCAGCCTGGATGACAGAGCCAGATTGGAGGGGCGGGGGGAGAGAAAAAAATGTCAAACGACAGAGAGCCGTGGCTCATGCCTGTCATCCTAGCACTTTAGAAGACTAGGATATATATATCTACTACTATCTTTCACCCTCTTCTAACCTAGGTAAGCTGGGGCTTAACAACGTGCATCAGACCTAGATCCTCTTAAAACAGAAATATGATTTAGTTAGATCAATATTCAATGTTTGTACTTTGTGAACTATTCATAGTTATATGTACTTTACTATGATTTCTTTTCTTGAAAAGTTTTGTTTTTCTAGATATTAATAATGATTTATTCATTTATTTTGAAACAGAGTCTCACCCCATCACCCAGACTAGAGTGCAGTGACCCATCAAAGCCTCCAACTTCTGGACTCAAGTGATCCTCCCACCTCAGCTTCCTAAGTAGCTGGGATCATGAGCATGTGCCACCATACCTGGCTAAGTTTTTTGTAGAGACAACGTCTTACTTTGTTGGCCAGGCTGGACTTGTTTTTTTTTTTTTTTGAGACAGAGTCTCAAGCTGGGAGGGGTTGTAAAAAAAAAAAAAGAAAAAGAAAAAAAAAATAGAGACAGAGTCTCACTGTGCTCCCCGCAGGCTGGAGTGCAGTGGCTGGAGGCTCACTGCAACCTCTGCCTCCCAAGTTCAAGTAATTCTTCTGTGTCAGCCTCCTAAGTAACTGAAAACTGAGTGGGGAATGAGCCACATGTCTGGCTAAATTTGTATTTTTAGTAGAGACAGGTGTTGGGGTCCGGCATGTCTGCTGGGGGACTACCGACCTACAGGAGTCCCCAAGACCGCCAACGTAGATGTCTCATTCAACCTGAGGAAGAGAGTGCACGGAAGTGAAAGAGTAAAGGAAAGCGGAGTCTGGAGGGCTGGCTTAGGCTATGTCCAAGCAGCAATTTTATTTTTGCAATACGTTTCAGTATATACTTTTCTGAAGTCAAAGTTGTTTACGCTAGATCAACGTACTTAAGTTACAGTAAGCAAGTTACGCCCACTAAGTTACACCCAGTAAGTAAGTTAAGTCCAGTAAGTAGGTTACGCCCAGTAAGTAGGTTACTTCCAGTAAGTAGGTTATGCCCAATAGGTCAAGGTAAGTAAGTTACAGTCACGCCCAGTAAGTTATGGTAAGTAAGTTACAGTTACACCCAGTAAGTTATGATAAGTAAGTTACCAAGTGTAAATACTTAAGTTAATATTTTACAATGAAGGTAACAAGGGTCCAAAATGAACACAATCAAGCAATAAACCATAAGGAGCCGAAAGTGGACACAATGCCTCCCAAGTCCTCATATCCATAAAGTAATGTCTATTAATTATTTTGAATAGCATAGTCCCTCTCTCGGTTCCTGCTTTCCCTCAGCTCAACTCCCCCAACCAGGGATCTGTGTCTGGGCTCAAGCTCACCATATGGCAAGTCCCATTTCCTAGGGGCCTCACACGGGAGCGATCCCCACAGATCTCCCTCAGACAGGGTTTCACCATGTTGGCCAGGCTGGTCTTGAACTCCTGACCTCACGTGATCAGCCCTTGTTGGAACTTGTAAGCCACCTTGACCTGCCCCCAGTCTGATCTTAAACTCCTGACTTCAAGCAA